GATGGATTGAGAGGGTCGGTGTATTAAAATCCTGCGTGGTCACTGCAGTGCACCACTAGCGGTTTAGTTCGCTAGGAACAGAAACCCAACCTAATCCTAAAAGAGCCAGAAAAATATGTTCTGGAACAGGAATTCCTAACGTTGTGAGAGACAACGGGTTCTCCGATAATTTTATTAGGGAACACATAGACAGAGAAGACTGTTAATCGCTACACAGGAGGACGCTTTGCACCAGTCTGAACAAAGCTTTCCTCGCAATACTTTGGACCTAGTTGACAGCAAAACCATTTGTGTTTCGTAAGAAGGCTCGTTCACACTCAAATTATCTTGTTACATTCATTCTCTCGCTGTTTTGTAACGGACACAAGACGAAGTAACGAGAATGGGGGAACACATTCCAGAACACTTAGCAGACATGGCACACGGCCAGCCCATACAAAGTTTCCGCATTGTTCACAAGTCACCTGTCAAATGGGCACGGTATGGCACAGTCGCAGTGGCTGAAGCTGTTGCCATCGCGACACGAGTCTTCGTCGAGAAAAAAACGCTTTGTTCGTGTACTGGTCGGACTTCCCACCTCCCACCACACATACACCCGGCTTTCACTGTGATGTCCACTGTGCTCATCGGGTGGTGTTAAATACTGTTGTATGGAATGATCTTCTCCCCTCTGGCGAAGTGGATAGACAAAACGGTTTTGAAATGATTGGAGCAAGTTCATGAGCACAAGTACGGAACAAAATAGAACGGGGGGGTGACATCCGAGAGAGGATAGCCGGCAGATGTGAGTCAACGAGGCTGTGTAAACTTGTACAGAGCTAGGGGAACTGGTTGGGGGAGGAGTGAAAACTGAGCAAATACTTTTGTTTTCTCTAACGCGAGGGGATTCGGGACATTCAGGCGTGCCAAATGTGGGATGGAATGAGGAAGAATGAAAAGCTTGGAACCGATTGAGAAGTCACCGTTTACAAACCTATTTGGATTGGCAAAATTTACCGGCAAGTCCCACGGTGAATAATTAACTCATGTGCCTTGAAGCGGAAGATCAAAGACCCGATCATGAATGAGTTGAACTCCCCCCCCCCACCCACTTTAAGCCACCGCA